AAAATGGGGAAAAAATGGGGGAAAATTGGGAAAAAATGGGGAAAAAATGGGGAAAAATTGGGGAAAATTGGGGGAAAATTGGGGAAAAATTGGGGGAAAATTGGGGGAAAATTGGGGGAAAAATGGGGAAAAATTGGGGAAAAATTGGAGAAAAATGGGGGAAAAAAAGGGGAAAAATGGGAAAAAAATGGGGAAAAAATGGGGAAAAATTGAGGACAAAAGGGGAAAAAATGGGAAAAAATTTGGAAAAAAAAGGGGATAAATTTGGGAAAAATTGGGAAAAAATTGGGGAAAAATTGGGAAAAAATTGGGGAAAAATTGGGGAAAAATTGGGGAAAATTGGGGGAAAATTGGGGGAAAATTGGGGAAAATTGGGGGAAAATTGGGGAAAAATTGGGGAAAAATTGGGGAAAAAAACAGGAAAAAATGGGGAAAAAATGGGAAAAATTTGGGAAAAAATTGAGAAAAAATTGAGAAAAAATTGGGAAAAAATTGGGAAAAAATGGGGAAAAATTGGGGGAAAAATTGAGAAAAAATCCAGAAAAAATTGGGAAAAAATGGGGAAAAATGGGGAAAAATTGGGGAAAAATTGGGGAAAAATTGGGAGAAAAATTGGAGAAAAATTGAAATAAAATGGGGGAAAATTGGGGGAAAATTGGGGAAAAATTGGGGAAAAATTGGGGAAAAATTGAAATAAATTGGGGGAAAATTGGGGAAAAAATGGGGAAAAAATGGGGAAAAAATGGGGAAAAATTGGGGGAAAATTGGGAAAAATTGGGGAAAAATTGGGGAAAAATTGGGAAAAATTGGGGAAAAATTGGGGAAAAATTGGGGAAAAAATGGGGAAAAATTGGGAAAAAATTGGGAAAAAATTGGGGAAAAATTGAGAAAAAATTGAGAAAAAATTGGGAAAAACTGGGATAAAATGGGGAAAAATGGGGAAAAAATTGGAGAAAAAATGGGGAAAAATTTGGGAAAAAATTGAGAAAAAATTGAGAAAAAATTGGGAAAAAATGGGGAAAAATGGGGAAAATTGGGGTAAAATTGGGGAAAAATGGGGAAAATTGGGGAAAAAATGGGGGAAAATTGGGGAAAAATTGGGGTGAAATTGGGGTAAAAGCTGAGCCATGAGAGAGCGGGAATCGGGGAGCAGCAGGGACCTGGAAAAATGGGGTGAGAAAGGGGGAAAATGGGAAAAAATGGGGGAAAAAATGGGGGAAACATGGGGAAAAAATGGGGAAAAATTGGGGAAAAATTGGGGAAAAATTGGGGAAAAATTGGGGAAAAATTGGGGAAAAATTGGGGAAAAATTGGGGAAAAAATGGGGAAAAAATGGGGAAAAAATTGGGGAAAAAATGGGGAAAAATTGGGGAAAAAATGGGAAAAAATGGGGGAAAAATTGGGGAAAAATTGGGGAAAAATTGGGAAAAATTGGGGAAAAATTGGGGAAAAATTGGGGAAAAAATTGGGGAAAATTGGGGAAAAATTGGGGAAAAATTGGAGAAAAATGGGGGAAAAATTGGGGAAAAATTGGGGAAAAATGGGGAAAAATTGGGGAAAATTGGGGGAAAAAATGGGGAAAAATTGGGGAAAAATTGGGGAAAAATAGGGAAAAATTGGGGAAAAAAATGAGAAAAAATTGAGAAAAAATTGGGAAAAAATGGGGAAAAAATGGGGGAAAAATGGGGGAAAAATGGGGAAAAATTGGGGAAAAAATGGGGAAAAATTGGGGAAAAAATGGGGAAAAAATGGGGGAAAATTGGGGGAAAAATTGGGGAAAAATTGGGGAAAAATTTGGGAAAAAATGGGGAAAAATGGGGAAAAATGGGGGAAAAAATTGGGAAAAAATTTGGAAAAAAAAGGGGATAAATTTGGGAAAAATTGGGGAAAAAAACAGGAAAAAATGGGGAAAAATTGGGGGAAAATTGGGGAAAAATTGGGGAAAAATTGGGGAAAAAATGGGAAAAAATGGGGAAAAATTGGGGAAAAAATGGGGAAAAAATTGGGGAAAAATTGGGGAAAATTGGGGAAAAATTGGGGAAAAATTGGGGAAAAATTGGGGTGAAATTGGGGAAAAAGCTGAGCCATGAGAGAGCAGGAGTCGGGGAGCAGCAGGGACCTGGAAAAATGGGGTGAGAAAGGGAGAAATTGGGAAAAAATGGGGGAAAAAATGGGGGAAAAATGGGGGAAAAATGGGGGAAAAATGGGGAAAAAATGGGGAAAAATTGGGGAAAAATTGGGGAAAAATTGGGGAAAAATTGGGGGAAAAAATGGGGAAAAAATGGGGAAAAATTGGGGAAAAATTGGGGAAAAAATGGGGAAAAAAAAGGGGAAAAATTGGGGAAAAAATTGAGAAAAAATTGAGAAAAAATTGAGAAAAAATTGGGAAAAATTGGGATAAAATGGGGAAAAATTGGGGAAAAATTGGGGAAAAATTGGGGAAAAATTGGGGAAAAAATGGGGAAAAATTGGGAAAAAATGGGGAAAAAATGGGGAAAAATTGGGAAAAAATTGGGGAAAAAATGGGAAAATTTGGGAAAAAATGGGAAAAAATGGGGAAAAATGGGGGAAAATTGGGGAAAAATTGGGGAAAAATTGGGGAAAAATTGGGGAAAATTGGGGAAAAATTGGGGTAAAAGCTGAGCCATGAGAGAGCGGGAATCGGGGAGCAGCAGGGACCTGGAAAAATGGGGTGAGAAAGGGGGAAAATGGGAAAAAATGGGGGAAAAAATGGGGAAAAATTGGGGAAAAAATGGGGAAAAATTGGGGAAAAATTGGGGAAAAATTGGGGGAAAAACGGGGGAAAATGGGAAAAAATGGGGGAAAAAATGGGGAAAAATGGGGAAAAAATGGGGAAAAATGGGGAAAAATGGGATAAAAACGGGAAAAAATGGGAAAAAACCTGAAAAAATGGGGAAAAATGGGGTAAAATTGGGGAAAAATGGGGGAAAACAGAGAAAAAATGGGATAAAATGGGGGAAAATGGGGGAAAAACACGGGAAAATGGGAAAAAATGGGGTTAGAAATGGGGAAAATGGGAAAAAATTGGGGAAAAAAAACTGAAAAAATGGGGAAAAACCTGAAAAAATGGGGAAAAATGGGAAAAAATGGGGATAAAACCTCAAAAAATGGGGAAAAATGGGGAAAAAATGGGGGAAAATTGGGGTAAAATGGGGGAAAAACAGGGAAAAAATCTGAAAAATGGGGAAAAATTGGGATAAAATGGGGAAAAATGGGGAAAAACGGGAAAATTGGGGGGAAATGGGGAAAAATTGGGAAGAATGGGGATAAATTGGGGGAAAAATGGGATAAAATGGGGAAAAATGGGGTAAAATTGGGGTAAAATTGGGGAAAAATTTTGGGTGATTTTTGGGGTGAATTTGAGCCATTTTTAGCTGTTTTTGGGGTGATTTTTGGGCCAATTTTGGGCCATTTTTGGGTTAATTTTGGGTGTTTTTTGTGCCATTTTTGGGCGATTTTTTGGCAATTTTTGGATGATTTATGGGGTGAATTTGGGGTGAATTTCTGTGATTTTTGGGCTGATTTTGGGTGATTTTTGAGGCCATTTCTGGGGTGAATTTCGGTGATCTTTGGGGTGAATTTGGGTTAATTTTGGGTGATTTTTGTGCCATTTTTGTGCCATTTTTGGGCGATTTTTTGGGTGATTTTTGGGGGATTTTTGGTTGATTTTGGATGATTTTTGGGGTGAATTTGGGCCATTTTTGGTCGATTTTTAGGTGATTTTTGGGTGATTTTTGGGCCATTTTTGGGTGATTTTTTGGCAATTTTTGGGTGATATTTGGGTGATTTTTGGTTGATTTTTTGGGGTGAATTTGGTTCATTTTTTGGTGATTTTTGGGTGAATTTTGGGTGATTTTTGGGCCATTTTTGAGCAATTTTTTGGCAATTTTTGGGCTGATTTTTGTGCCATTTTTGGGCGATTTTTTGGCAATTTTTGGCTGATTTTGGGGGAGAATTTGGGTCATTTTTAGGTAATTTTTGGGCCATTTTTAGGTAATTTTTGGGCCATTTTTGGGTGACTTTTGGGCCATTTTTGGGTGATTTTTTGGCAATTTTTGGATGATTTTTAGGCTGATTTTGGCTGATTTTTGGGGTGAATTTGAGGTGAATTTGGGTGATTTTTGGGCTGATTTTGGGTGATTTTTGGGTCATTTTTTGATGACTTTTGGGTTAATTTTGGGTGATTTTTGTGCCATTTTTGGGCGATTTTTTGGCCATTTTTTGGTGATTTTTGGGTGATTTTTTGGCAATTTTTGGATGATTTTTGGGTGATTTTTGGGTAATTTTTGGGTAATTTTTGGGGTGAATTTGGATGATTTTTGGGCCATTTTTTGGCAATTTTTGGATGATTTTTGGGTGATTTTTGGGGTGAATTTGGGTCATTTTTTGGTGATTTTTGGGCTGATTTTGGGCGATTTTTTGGCAATTTTTGGCTGATTTTTGGGTTAATTTTGGGTGATTTTTGTGCCATTTTTTGGCGATTTTTGTCTGATTTTTCTGTGGATTTTTGTGCCATTTTTGGGCCGATTTTGGGTGGTTTCTGGCTGAATTTTGGGGTGAATTTGGGCGATTTTGGCACCTCCTGGGGGGGCTGATGTCGATCTCCACCGGGGGCCGCCGAGCTCGGTGCAGCCGCTCCAAAATCATCGAAACTTCCTCTGCAAAAAACCCCAAAAAAACCCCAAAATCCAACCCCAAAACCCCAAATTCGCCCAAAAAACCAAAAATTTCACCCCAAAATCCCCCAAAATCCAAACTTTCCCCAAAATTCCCCCATTTTCACCCAAAAAATTCAAATTTTTCACCCAAAAAATCCAAATTTTCCCCCAAAAAATCCAAATTTTCTCTCCCAAAATCCCCAAAATTTCCCCCCCAAATCCAAAATTTTCCCCCAAACCTCCCCAAAATCCCCAAATTTTGCCCCAAAAATCCAAAATTCCCCCGAATCCCCCCCAAAAAATCGAATTTTACACCAAAATTTCCCCAAAAAACTCAAAATTCTCCCCAATATTCCCCCAAAATCCCCAAATTTTAACCCAAAACCCCAAATTCCGACCCAAAACCCCCAAATTTTACCTCAAATTTCACCCCAAAAACTCCAAGTTTTGACCAAAATCCCCATATTTTACCCAAAAATCTCAAAACTTCCCCCAAAACCCCCAAATTTTCCCCCAAAAACCTCGAATTTTAACCCAAAATTCCCAAATTTTATCCAAAAACCCCAAAATTTTACCCAAAATCCCCAATTTTACCACAAATTTTCCCCAAAACCCCCAAATTTTGACCCAAAAACCCAAATTTTACCTCAAATTTCACCCCAAAAACCCCAATTTTACCTCAAATTTTACCCCAAAACAACCAAATTTTCCCCAAAATCTCCCAAATTTCACCCAAAACCCCCAAATTTTGCCTCAAAATCCCCAAATTTTACCTCAAGAAACCCCAAATTTTTTCCAAAAACCCCAAATTTTACCTCAAATTTTGCCCAAAAACCCCAAATTTTCCCCCAAAACCCCCAAATTTTACCCCAAAAACCTCAAATTTTAACCCAAAACCCCCAAATTTTACCACAAATTTCACTTGAAAACCCCAAATTTTCCCCCAAAACCCCAAATTTTACCCAAAATCCCCAAATTTCACCCCAAAATCCCCAATTC